GTGTCTGCTTAAGGACAGCATCCTGATCTAATTGGAGGTCCAAGGAAGGTCCAAACAAGGATATAACACGCAGCTGCTGTATTGGGAAGGTGGGCTGGAGAGTCTGGATAGGTGAGACAGAAGATGTAATGCAGTTATGGCTGAGCTTGAAGTAGTCCTGTGGACAATGATTATGATCTGAAATAGGGTCTTATAGTGAGGAAGGACAGACGCTTGATGCTGACTGTATTAGGGAATAGATTGTCAAAGTAATTTGCCAAGTGTGATTCCTTAATGCCAGATTGCCTCTAAGTTCCTGGATCTGCACTGGCTCTTTCTTCAGTCCAAATGGATACACTTCTCTCCTCTGTCACTTTCTATTCAGTCTAACAACACTTTTCTTTTTCAGTTATTTCAAATTCTAATTTTTATTTTGGGTTTTGGGGGACAGGATCTCACTAATTAGCCCTGGCTGGCCTGGAACTCACACAGATCCACCTGTCTCAGCCTCCCAAATGCTAAGATTAAAGGTGTGCACCACCACAAATGGCCTTCTAAGTTTTTTTTATCTAACATAATAATCATGTACATTTAAGAAGTTCACTGCAATAATTTGATACAGGCATACAATATATGATGACCAAAACCAACTGGCTTTTCCATCTCTTTAAACACTTATCATTGCTTTATATTGGGAACCTTTTCTATTTTCTTATAAAATATATAGCAAATTGTTTAAAATTATAACTGTGCTGGGCATGGTGGCGCATGCCTTTAATCCCAGCACTTGGGAGGCAGAGGCAGAGGCAGGCAGATCTCTGTGAGTTCAGGGCCAGCCTGGTCTACATAGTGAGTTCCAGGACAGCTGGGGCTACAGGGAGACCCTGTTTCAAAAAAAATTATAACTACATTTCCATGTTGTAGAACACTAGAATGTACTTGCGGCCACTAGCAATTCTCTGATGAAATGCTCTTCTGCTGGCTGTCAGCACGTTTCTGAAATTGAGATGCCCCCTGCTGGCAATGGAGTTCATAACATCATAGACCTTTTTCAGCTGTTATACCGCAACTCATGTATGAGCTTACTTACAGGTTTTGATTTACTGAGTGTAATGTACATTATATTGGCAAATTGTCGTGTGCTGTTTAAGCTTACCAAGAAACAGCAGGGTTGGCACCCACATTTTATATCTAAGCATGTTTGTTTTAAAGTGTCCATTAAGAACCCTTGCCCAGGGACAGGCTGGCTCTGGTGACTCTGATGGTTCTAGTGGCTCTTGTATTGGGGGGAGAAAGAACAGCAAAATGGTTCAAGAGTAAAATCATCATGTTGGAGGCTGAAGAGATGATTCAGCAGTTAAGAGCACTGGCTTCTCTTGCACAGGACCTGGGTTTGAGTCCCAGAACCCATAATTCCAGTTCTAAGGGATCTGGTGTCCTCTTCTGGCCCCTGTGGGCATTGCAAGTCTGTGATACACACACATACTTGCTACATGCTTAATAAACTTATTTATTTGAAACTGAAAGTACTGACATTATAGATAATTCTTTGTACCCTGTAAAACAACGAGGCTGACTTTTATTTCTGTATTTCTGTATGTATGTGTGTATGTATGCATGCATGTGTTTAGACTGGGGAATGAATTAGGGCTTTACACACACTGAGCATGAGCCCTAATACTGAGCTATGCTGAGCCTCTAGCACTTTACTTTTCAAAAACAGAAACTGTGTCTGGACTACTACAGGAAGCCCAGGAGAGATCAAAGGTAATGTTAGCTGATATTAAAGTAATACTGCCCAAGTAGAATTGAGAAAGCCCCTAGTGACTCTCTCAGGGTAACTGTCTACCTCTTGTTCTTTTTAGTTGACTCTCAGTAAAGATTTTAAAGAACCCAGGAAGATGGATTTTATCTTAGAAATAGGGGCCAGGTAGGCAACATGATGCCTGAAATGGATCAGGTGTAATGTAATGACGAGCTGCAGGGACTGTGGAGAATTAGGGGCAACTGCCACTAAGCACCAGTGTCCCGTGGGAAAGTAGATCTCCAATGTTATTAAATGTATGGAAATTCAAAGAAAAGCTGGAAAGCACAATGTTATAAAATTATAAAAAGTTGGTAAGAGAAATGAACTCCAAGGCCACCTGTTCTCAAGTTCTTCACAGTTAACCACGTTCTCCAGAGGAGTAGAACCAGTAGAATTTTTAAGTGTTTTGTTAGATTATTTTAGTATTATGTTATTTTAGATGATCAAAGGCTGAATAATCTCACAATGGCTATCTGTAGGCTGGAGAGCCAGGGAGACCAGCAACTACCTAGTTCAAGAAGCTGAATGCCTCTGAGCAACAGAGAACAAGAGGTATTAAGGTTATAGCACCTGCCAGTGACTAAGGCCTAGGAGCCCCCTGGAGAGTCACTATGGCAGTCTTCATTCAAAGGCTGAAGGAGAATCTATTAATATAAGCATACCACATGCATGCAATGCCCACAGAGGTCAGACAGGGCGTCAGATCATCTGGAACTGGAGTAACAGATCGTTGTTAGTTGCCATGTGGGTACTGGGAAGCAAATCTAGGTCTCTAGAAGAATACAAAGTGCTCTTCACCACTGAGCCATCCCTCCACCCCATATCTCTTTTTTGTAACACAAGCCAGCCATTCTTTCCATGGATCCAGTCTCTTCTACATCATTCACAAGACACCCCGCGACACCCCGAGTCTGCCCAAGTGAAGTCAGTCCCAATTTAGAGTAAGAGGATAGGTTCTTTGTGTAACTGTGAGTTTCTGTTAAAACTTGCAGCTAGGGTTGACCAAATGGCTCAGTGGTTAAAGGCACTTGCTACCAAACCTAACGACCCAAGTTTAATCTCTGGAACCAAAACGGTGGAGGGAGAGAACTGACTCCCATAAGTTGTCCTTTAACTTCTACATGTGCACCATGGCATGTAATTGTTCAGACACACATAATAAATAAATAAATAAACAAATAAATAAATAGGAATGTAATACTAAAAACTTTGAGGGTAGCATATCATGTTTATTTCATTTAGGAGTATGAAAGTTGTCCTCCTAATGTTTATGAGTTGATTTTTGTTTAGAATGCTTCTTTCATGAGTAAGTTTTTGGGTTTAAAAAGTATATTGCAGAGCTTGGACATAGCTCAGTGGTAGAGCATTTGCTTGGTACATGCAAGGTCCTATGTTTCTTCCTTAGCAGAGCAAAAGAAAAGTATACTATGCTTCACAAGTTGAGTATTTGGCAGTGATATAGTCTGAGTTAGCAAACAGCCAGTCAACTGTGTCATTGATCTGTCCCCTCTTCTGCAAATCTTAATTTTGTAACATTTTGTATTCTCACATGTACACACACACATGTGCACATGCACACATACACACACTGAACAAATGCTAAAAATTGCCATAATATCAGTCTAAAATATTTTGTGTTTTCCATGTATGCAATGCTGGGTTGAAAGCTGGGGATATAGATAGAGGTGAATGGTATGGATGCATTTTCTCTCCATTGGGTGTTGCTATCTTTAGTATTCATCAGCAATTCTCTCTCTCTCTCTCTCTCTCTCTCTCTCTCTCTCTCTCTCTCTGTGCTGTCTCAGCTTCTTCCTGCTTCATCTCAGTCTGAAACATATGGTTATAAACAATTTAGGAAAAAGTTCAAGTTATGTCAGTATCTGTGAAAAAGAAATACTTGTCTGGAGTGAGGAACCTTTTTGGATAAAATGAAAATTAAGTTATTACATGAAAGTTGAGTGAATAGTTAGTCAGATGAAGGCTGTGGACCATTTAAGGCACAGGAACAGGCAGGGCCAAGGTCTAGATTGGAGTGAAATGTGGGTTGTGTGAGGAACAGATGTCCAGGAGGGCTGGAGCAGAAGGGAAGGTGGAAGATGAGGTTTTGCTCAGGTCTTGCTACTAAACTTCCATGGTGCTTTGCGAAAGTTATGTGCATGTGCACAAGTGTGCATGTGTGTGTCGTATGTTTCTGTATGTGTTGGGTTACATGTGTGCAGATGCATGTGTACACATGTGTATGCATGTGTGGAGGCCAGAGGATAAAGTCAGGTGTCATTCCTCAGGAATGCAGTGGTTCACCTCTCTTTGAGACAGGATCTCATTGACCTCATCACCTAGCCTAGGCTGCCTGGCCAAGGACCCCAGGTTCTGCCTCCCCAGTGCAGTGGGAAGAGCATCCTGGGAAGGGGATGGATGGAATGGCCCCCACCATTGTGGTGGACGAGCCACTTGAGATAAGGGGGCAACTGTCCCACAAGACAAGATGGCAGGTGGGGCCTGGAGTGGAGACTGCACCCAGGCAGGAGAGTCCACCTCCCCAGTGCTGGAATTACACACACACCACCATGCCTGGCTTTTTACATGGGTTCTGGGGATCAGATTTAGGTCTTTGTGCTTGCAAGGTGAGTGCTTTACTGACTGAGCCATCTCTTCAGTCCCTGAAAAACTCTCTCTCTCTCCCCCCCCTCTCTATATATATATGTGTGTGTGTGTGTGTGTGTGTGTGTGTGTGTGTGTGTGTTCACATTCAGTCAGTTGTATTTAATTTTACAAATGGTCAGTGTACGTTATTTGTCCTACACTTGTCTGTTCCTAGGTACAGGGGATCATGTAGGTTTTGTTCTGTCACACATTGCTGCCCTTAACTCCTTCCCCATATGCATATTTTTATTCTAGCCAGAACCTGTTTTTCTAACAAATTCATTAATTTGCATCCACAATGTAAAATTTCCTTAGTGAGAATTGTAACATTTTATCCATTTATTTACTCACTATCTGTTTAGCTCCACATCACAAGCAAGCTTGGAAACCATAAGTCAGAAGCCTCATGAACTTACAGTAGACCCAAAGTCAGCTACGTAGTTCAGACAAAACAATCTAATGTGTATAGCAATGTACTATGAGAGAAGCACTTGAAATTTGGTTGAGTAATGATTTCTGTCCCACTGGCTCATACCTGTCTTTCAAGAACTTTCTGTTTTTCTCTCCTCAGCCCATCTGCCAGGCAGCCTACCAGAATGATCTGGGGCAAGTGTGGCGGTGGGCAAAGGAAGACTACCACTGTGTGGATGTTCAAGACAGCTTCAATGGAGACACTCCGCTCATCTGCGCTTGCAGGCGAGGACATCTGAGAATCGTTTCCTTCCTTTTAAGGAGAAATGCGAATGTCAATCTCAAAAACCAGGTAAGGCTGGGGCAGAGAAGGGGAGACACTGATTGTGATAATTTGTCTCTCCTCAACTTGCTGGACATAGGGAATGTCAGTTTTTCTCATTTCTTACAGCTTCTACTATGAGTGATTCTTTTTTTTTGCTTTACTTTAGAGGGACTTATATACACCAAGGACATTTTGTTAGAGTAAAAGGACAAATGAAACGTAGCTCCACCAGCAGGATTGTTTTGTGATTAATTATGTTTTTGCATAGGTTTTCTTTTCCTGGTCTTTTTCCCCAAACCTGTTTCCTTTCTCTTTTCAGTGTTATACAAGTCACAGAGCAAAGTTCCTGTAAAAGAAACATTAGCTTTGTACTGCTGTTTCATTATTTAGATTTTTAATCTACTGTTTATTAATATATTTTTGTTCATTAAAAAATTTCCTTTAATCCCAGCACTTGGGAGGCAGAGGCAGGTGGATTTCTGTGAGTTTGAGGCCAGCCTGGTCTACATAGTGAGTTCCAGGCCAGCTGGGGCTACAGGGAGACCCTGTCTCAAAAAAATTTTTTTTCCCACACACTCATGTGCATATAGGCAATACTAATTGGACTTAGGGGGTTAATAACAAAAATAAATAAATATCTCAAAATGCCACCTCTGTCAGCTGAGACAGAGATGAGTTGGAGGCACTAGGGTGCAGCGGAAAGGAAATGGTGGTGGATGAATATGATCAATATTCATTGTACAACTGTATGGAACTTTCAAAGAGTAAAAAATTGTTAAAGATTTCATTGCTGCATATTCTTTGTACGTGGTACTGGCTTATGTAAGGACTTTTCATTCAAATATACCATGTACTTTGCATATGTTCCCCATAGTTTCCAGCCTTCTCTTGTCTCCCCTATATCAGTCTCTTTGGCTCTCCTGTCAGTTTTGCTTCGACCTTCACCTCAAATATACACGCATAATTTTATGCATGTATAAAATTTAGAACTCCAAAATAAGAAAAAAAATATTTCTCTGAGCCTCACTTAGTTGACTTAATAGAATGATCTCCAATGACACTCACTTTCCTACAAATGATATAACTACGTTCTTCTTTATGATGGAAGCATTCTATTGTGTATATGTTCTACATTCTATTCATCCATTCCCCTGTTGAAGAACTTCTAGACTGGTTTCATAGTAAGCTGTTGTGAATAGAGCTACTATCATCATGGTTGTACAGGTATCTCTGGGATATGACGATTTCGAATCTTTCAGGGAAACACTCTCAAGAGGTAGAGCTGGATCATATGGTAAACTGTTTTCAGTTTCTGAGGTACCTGTGTAGTCATAGGTTCCCATAGCCAGTGTATTAGGGTGTCCTTTTGTTCATATCTTTGCCAGTATCTGTTGTGAGTTGTTTTCTTAATGACAGTGGTGAGATGGACTAGCAGTATAGTTTTAATATGCGTTTCTCTTATGGCTAGTAACATTGAGCATTTTTCATATGTTTATTGGACATTTAGACTTCATCTTTTGAGAAAAGTCTGCTCATTTCATTTGCCCATTTATTGACTAATAGTTTGATTTCTTCTAATTTGGGTTTTGAGTTTTTTGTAAATTCTAGATATTCGTCCTCTGTCAGAAGAATAACTAGAAAATAGTATCTCCCATTCCATAGGCTGAATCATCACTTGATCAATTGTTTCCTCTGCCATGCAGAAGATTTTATATTTCTTGAGGTCCCACATGTCAGTTGTTTGCATGATTTCTTGCACACTGAAATCCTATTCAGAAAACCCTTGCCTATGCCTGTGTCTTAAAGTGGTTCCCCTACTTTTACCTCCACCAGTTTCAGGGTATCCAGTCATACATTGAGGTATTTGATTCATTTTTACATAGGGTGAAAGATAGGTATGTGTTTTCTTTCTTCTACATGTGGATATCTGGTTTGACCAGAACCACTTGTTGAAGACTGTCTTATCTCCACTGTGTATTTTTGACATGTTTGTCAATCAAGTAGCTGTAGCTGTGTGGGTCTGTATCTGGGTCCTTTTATTCTATTCCACTGACCTACATGTCTGTTTTTGTGCTAGTATCATACTCATGCACCCTGTTTTCGCTGCTTTGGCTGTGTACTTGAAATCAGGTATGGTGATTACTACAGCTCTGATCTATACTGCTCAAGATTGCTTTGGCTACCTGAGTCTTTTGAACCTCCATTTGAATTTTAAGGTTTTTGTTTTTATTTATGTGAAGAATGATATTGAAATTTTACTAAAGGTTGCACTGCATCTGTAGAGTATTTTTGGTAGTATAGCTATGTTCACAATATTCACCTTCCAATTCATGAGCACTAGACATCTTTCCACCTCCTAGTGTCTTCTTCAATTTCCTTTTTTGGTATATTAAGAATTTCGTTATGGAAAATTTGCACTTCTTTGCCTAGACTTATTTCAAAGTATTTTGTTGTTGTTGTGAGGGGGATAGTTTTCTTAATTTGTTATTTGTTATATATAGAAAGGTAACTGATTTTGTGTGTTAGTTTTGTACCTTACCACATCAATGAAACTGTTTAACAACTCTAAGAGTTTTCTGGTATAGTTTTAGAATTGCTTTTGCATAGAGTCATATCACTTGCAAATGAGATATTTCGACTACTCCTTTCCTATTTGTATTTCTTTCATTGTTTCTCTGTTATTACTCTTGAGAGTGGAATTTTGTCTGCAGAAACAGTCGCTACCAAGTGGCAGGTCCATTATGAAAATACAGTAATCATCAAATAAAAAATGTCAACTCTTTAATCATTTTAGGAAGTAAAGGAACACTGATATTATTGTGTACCTTCGAATGTTATTGTGGGTGTGAGTGGAACAGAAAAAAAAAAAACGAGTAAGACTAGTGATTAATATTGTTATTGGAATGATAGGGAAAATACAGAGAAGGGAAAGGTAAATAGAAGGGGTGGGACAGTAGAGACAAAGGGAGGTGGGTGAGCTCTGGATGAAGGTAAAGGATGCAAAGAGATAACCTAAAACAACCCCAGCCCCAAGAGGCTGAAGCAGAGAGCCCCCCGCCCCACAACCAGGCCAGCCTAGGTTCTTTGGGGAAATCATTCAAAAGGAAAATGAAACAGAAAAGTAGAGAAGAAGGACGTGACCTTTGTGGGAGCTGATCATCAGTGGGAGGTACTTCATGGGTGGGGTTGTGAATTGGTCCCACTCCTGGGTGCTCCTTCCTCATGTCTGGTGTGCTTTTGAAAGCCCCCCGCGGTGTTCCCCAGCAGCTCTGGCTCTGATCCGATTTCCCCCTTGCTGTACTCCACCATTCCCATCCTGTTTCTTCCCAACATTCTAGAGGTGCTCTGAGGGCCGGGTTTTAGCATATAGTCCTGTGACACTTGGCTCTGAGGTTCCTAAACCAACAGTTCATGTAGGGTCTATGTTATACCAAGCTAAGAACTTCACAAGGGCCTTTCAAAAACGGCTTCTTGCTGCTTCTCCTGGGTGCCTGAGTGCTCAGCAGGGAGGTTTTCCTGGCACTCTCCTTCATCTGTTGCTCACCCACCGTTTGTTTCCTTCCTCCCTCTTTTTCTACTGTTTAAAATGTTACTGAAAGCAGATTTTCCAGGGTCTGCCTTAAGCTGTGGCTCTGGCCCAGTGGTCTGTTGTCTCACTGCCTCTCACTGGCAGGAGAGAACTTCCCAAACTGAGCCAATCTCCCTGGATGAACTCTGGGCTCTACTGCTCTTTTTGTAAAGTTTTATATTTTATTTATTCATTATTGAACTGTGTCTTCTGATAGCTATTATCCAGAGTTCCCTAGTTTATTTCCCAGAGATTGGACCATGCCTGTATGCCATCTACCATCTTTCAAGCTACAAATATTGATTCTTCCTGTTTTAATGTCTTGGTCTCCAGAAGAGCCTATAGTTTGCTTGATGAACCTAAGAACATTATCAAGAAATCAGCTGGAGACAAGCTCTTGACAAGCTCTTGTTACCTGAAGGGACACAGAGGAGCTGTCTTGGGGGCTTTATGTGGTGGTTTGAATGAGAATGTCCCCCATAGGCTCCAAGTATTTAGACTTTTTTTTTGGTCGACATTCTATCCCTAGTAGGTGGCGCTCTTTGGTGAGGTTTTGGGAGGGACAGCCTTGCTAGAGGAAGCATGTCACTGGGGGCCAACATGGAGAGTATATAGTCATACTTACTTTCAATCTGGCTCTCTCAGCTTACTGTTCCTTCCTGGTGATGGGACCCCTCAGCTTTCTGTTCTGGTCACCTCTTTCCACCATGTTTTTCCTGCCATTATGGATTCTAATCCCTCTGGAATCATAAGCCAAATAAATTCTTCCTTCTATCAGTTGTCATGGTCATGGGGTCTTATCACAGCAGCAGAAAATCAGTACATTTCAGGACCAAGAAGTAGCTTGAATGTGTCTTTCTGAACATCTTTGTGGAACTCTTTCTGAACCTTTAGCTTCTGCCTTCAGTAGAGTAAATATTCTAAGCTTTTTAAAACAATATTTATACATGTCTTGTATACACTCCAGTGTATTCAATGAGAAAAATAGTCGGGCCCCTCTTGGCCCTTGCAAGTCCATTAAAGGCCAGCTCACTGGGAACAGCCATGTATTACGGGAAGTTTGATCACTACTGGACTTCTTTGCTTGTCCTTACTGTCTGTTTGGATTTTTCCTCACCCACAGTGCTGTGGTATTAAACCTAGGGCTTTGTATGTGTTTGGCTAACTCTCTGCCACTTACTGAAATTTACAAACAACCCATGCTTGTGCTGAATCTAACAGAGAAATGACAGTAGAGTGTGACAGGAAATTCCTAGAACAAGCTAGGTGTGCAGAGCTGTGCTGAGCAGCCCTGCAGGTCAGATGTCTGTGGGCTCCTGTCCTCTTTCAAGAAGCATGCTCATGGAAAGCCGAGGAAGAGAGACATTTGGCAGCCTAGGAGCAGGGCTGAGGCGGCACTCTTACCTTTGGTTTACGGAGGAGAAACTCAGCCACCCTGCTAAGATCCTCTAAAGAAATAAGAATCACGGAAAGGACATTAGTTACATACTTTAGTCTAGCAGTGATTTAATCAGAGAAAGTTTTGGGTTTGCATTTCATATATTTCTAATGGTGTTTGATGTTTAATATTTTTATTTTCCCAAAATATCAGTCTTTGTATATTAATAACTTGAGCTAATGCTTTCACATTTCTTAAATATGCTTCAGTTATTAAAAAGTTCTGAACAAAAGTCTTTTCAACAAGTGAAAAGAACTTTTTTGGTGAATCAGAATTATATACTATTAACAAACACCATTGGTTCTACAGAAAGTCAATTGAAACAAAATTAAAACACAACATGCAATAATTTTTTGGCCTGATCATTAATCAGGACTAAAAGGAAGAGGCAAATGTTGATCAGGATTATCACCTTACTCAAGCATTATTTGGTACCATTGTATGAAACACATTATATCTTTCATGCCAGACAGTCTATCTAGAAACTTATGCAAAGAACAAATTTAGATTTGTTGACAAGCCTTTGTGAGTGAGGGTATTTAGACAATATTATTTGTAGAAATAATTAATAATAATTAAATATAATT